TGTCAAGGAATGATATCTCTAACAGAATGGATATTGAGAAATCTGACTGAATACCTAGCACTCAGTAAAATGTGACATATCCAGCATTTTTTTTTCTTCTTGCTTTGGGAGGTCTCTGCATGTCCCAAGGGAGCAACTAGCATTGTACCTTTAGCCAAATAATAATCCTAGAGTGACAGTAATGCCACAAATTACAGGTTGGGAACTGCTAACCCCCCTCAGTATCATTTGGGGGGGAACCAGATCAGTATGCCTTCTTCCCAACTGCACAATGAGTGAATGGCACCGTGATTTCCTCATCTCTCTGCTCTGGCTGTTCCTCTGCCAACCCATGAAGAAGTGATTACTTCTTCATCCTTCCTCTTGTAAGTGCAGGTAATTCCTTTATCATCATTTTTCTTAGATCAGTCACTGTATCCTTAGATTAAGAATTTAGAGAAAACAGACCAATTATGAATGTAGCCTGAATTTTTGGAGTTGTCATGATATCAAGGTGTTTTGCCCAGACCTTCAAGGACTGTGAAATACAGGTTTTGTGATTCTAATCTCATGAAACTAAAGAGCTGGTTTGTTACTTTACTACTATTTTTTCTGCTAATAAACATCCAAATGAAATCAGATGTCAGAATACATGGTGGTGATATCTGCTTAGAAATCATTCTAATACTGTAAAAATATTTACAGGCTTCCGAGACTTTTCCTGATCAGAGAAATCAAAGTATAGTTTTCCCAGCAGGCTTGCAGTTAGTTCTTCCAAATTGCTTCTGTTTTAATTGGCATGCATTTCCTTTAAGCAGCTAGAAGATGAAAAATATTTGACTTGGGCTCTACAGGAATGGAAGCCTGTTTCCCAAGATACAGGCACCTGGGAGAAGAGGAGAGACTGTAGTTTGTAGCGCACTTGTACAACAAAAATCCCCAACATCTTGGAACATAACTTATAACAAGGTGACGACTTGTATTCTGACCACTTAATGAGGAAAAATAAGCGTAGTATTTTACTCAGGCTTTCAAGAATGTGAAGTCTTTTGGTACCTGAAATGCATCTAGGTGGGATGCATTTCATCTTTATTTCCTTTTTTCACAGTTGTTGCCAAACTATGCTTTAGGAAAATTTTTACCTAAATTTCTTGTTCCTAAAGCATGTTTCAGAAGCATTGGTAAGAAAAAAGAAAGAACCACGTGACTGGCAACATCACATTGTCTGTGAAATTAGTTTTTCAATGACTGGAGATTTTAATTTCTCTCTTGTTGAAACCAATCCTCTGTAGAGAAGTTTTCTACAGACTGTTGACACTGGGAATGGTGAGACCAAATACATACAACTGGGGAGGAAATGACTGTGTGCTAGAATGATGTCAAAAGCCATGCTCCCTGACTTCTGGGAGGTGGCTCTATGTGGCCTGGGATGCAATTGCTTATGAATTAGTGCCATTGAAGATGGCACTGTAGAAAACTGTAGATGATGGTCTTTGGGTTTGAAGAGATTGAGTGGGCCTTGGGCTAGAGGTTGAAAAGTTTTCTCGTGGAGGCTCTGAGGGAACATAGGTCTCCTCTGAGCAAGAAAGAAGACGCACATGCACTCCCTGGTTACTTCCCACCTCTAGTGCACTTTCTGCTGCTGAAACATGCAGCTTGCTTGAACTTACTGCCATCCGACGATGGAGATGTCATTCCCATTTTATTCCCCATACAGCTTAGACCATAGTGGGATGGATTACTTTCAAGTGGCATTGGATGTCTTTTTGTGAACTACTTATGCAGACGTGCCCTATAACCAGTGCAAGTAGGCACCCCTGGCATGAAATTCAATTCACCTAATTTAGACATCTGTATTAGAAAGAGATCAGACTCAGTTTAGAAGTGCCTGTTTCTCTTTGCAGTGCGTCTGGATCCGTTCCTCCTCTGAGGCAAAATAACAGCTGTCTGTTATTTAATCTGAGTTGAATCAGTGAGGGTTTTTCTGTGGTACTATTTCTGAATAACGTGAGTTGTTCATTTTGATTTAAAATGTACAGGTATCAACTGATTGTTTTAAATCAGTGTTGGTAGTTCACCTGTACTTCATTCACATTGTGAAAATATCAAGGTTTTGGGAGTGAGTTGTAAAATAATTCCCTCATGTCCTCCCTGCCAAACAGCAAACGGAAGACCCTGTCTAAACATGGTGCAGTAGTTGGATTTCTTGTAGAAGAGATTGTAAATTTCACTCACTTGTAGTTTTTTAATCTATTCTGATGATGTAAATCCTGTAGCCCAACTGATGGGGGAGTATCACCATATACCAGTCTTAATTTTCTATTTCTCAGCTTTTGTTATAAGAATATTAACCACTCGGTGGCCATGTGGTTGTGTCAGTTATGTTAACCTGGTATGCAATCTGGCAAAATTCCAAAGGACTTTTCATAAGAGAGATTCAAGGATCAAATGAAGCTGGCATATCTTGTTCCACAGGATTAGAGAAGTGCATTATCAGTGAATAACGTTAGTCATGCTTTGTGCTTTCTATATATTGCTATCTGCCATTCAAAAATGTGAGATGGTTTTTCCCTAGTGCCATAGCATTAGGTGAATCATGAAGAGCAGAAACTCTAAGGGATTTGTTATTAAAGCACTGAAGGAAGCACAACCTTCATATTTGTTGTTTATTGATTAATATTTAATTGAAAGCAATATAAAAAATTAAGCAGGCAAATGACTCAAGCACATGCTAAAAAGCAACATCAACGTCTTGCTGTGGCTGGCAAATAACAAATGGAATTTCTAGGAATAGAAGCAAAAAAATATTAAGATATAGTGATGGCACAGTAAGTTAAAGAAGATGCTTTGTTTGAGAGTGGTAGACTCATCCTACAGAAAAACAGTGCAGAAAACTTTGATGCCAAGTTCAGTACTTTTTACATCACTGATGAAATCACCAGGGGGTTCTTGTCAGAAAAAGGTAATCATTGTCTTTTTGCTGTGTTGTTCATTTTCTTTTAGTAGAGGAGGATTTGGAAAAAATATTATAGCACCAGTAAAGCCCTATGAGTTGTCAGTTAGGTGAACGGTGTATTGTTTTTTGTTGCTGCTTTCTTTGAGTGTTGTGGCTGTTTTAGACAGTGTTCAAGGTCTTTAAGTGTACTTGTCTTTGGAATGGATTGTCTTTTATTTATCTTTATTTATTTTTCCTCCCCACTGGAAATACATAGCAGTCTGTCACTTTAGTTATTATTGATGCCACCTTTTGTCACAATATTTTCCTGGGTTTTCTTTGTTATAAAAAAATCTGTTTGCTCTAAGTTATTCTTTCTGCATGGTGTACGTAAGAAGTTACCCTGAAATTAACTGTTACTGTGAACATTGTCTGGCATGCAAGCATGGAAAAATGATTGCTGTTGGTAGGGCAGGATATCTCCTCCTTGCTCTTCCTTGGCAAATAAAGGCCCCTTTTTATTACTGCTTCCAGTTTTTCTTTATTGCTCACAGTAAGCCATGCTTTGTGCTGAAATTCTTCTCTTCTTGTGAACTTGAAAAGCAATAAGTGAAATGAAAGTTGGCAGTAGTTCGTAGCACTAGAATATCTGCCAATAAATAGGATGGGTGGAAGAAGCATGTAGCAGTTGACTGCTATTTCAACTGCATTCCATAATATTGTAATGAAACGTTGGCCTTTCTTCCCCCCCGAAATCTTAGGAATGTTGAGTTGCTATCTGTAAATGGGAGGAGGGGAGAGGTTCAGTATGTCTCCCTGGAGAAGGTGAACTAGTCGTCTCTAAAGCAAATAATGTATTTGTAGGCAACGAGGCCTTAGTGAATGCAGCGGGTTTGATCATTCTCCCATGCAGAGTGATGGCAAGGGAGTTAGTGCAGTGGAAATACCAAGCCTGTGTGTTACAGTATGTGGGCAGGAGATTTCAATTGCTGCACAAATGTAATACTGGGGCTTGAAACACTTTGGGATCCTCTGTATGTGCACATGATGTGTACTGCAGTACCTAGAAAGTTCAAAATGTGGCAGGTTCATCTGCCGCTGGGCTGGTGGTATGCTCTTTTAAAGACCTTTTTAATCACAAGCAAACTAGGCTGAGGCCTGTGGATTAGACAGTGTGCAGGCACTAACCCACTTGAGGCAAAAAAGAAACCTTTAATTGCTGTGAAAACTCTGTGCCAAGTGTAATAGCTGCTTTCAGCAGTATTTAAACCAACTTCATTAGAATATGGGAAGAAGAGATGTGTTTTAAAGGCTGGTTTTAGCAAGTAATCAGCTGTCTCCCAGATGGTCTGAATGTGACTTCTCAGGCCTAGGCCCGCCCTGAGTTGTGCTGGCAGGTGTGTGTCGGGGGGAGCAGCCCCTGGATCGTCCCAGCTCTGGCCTTTCAGGCCAAGATGATTGAGGTTTTTTTTTTTTTTCTTTTTTTTTTTTTTTCTTCTCTTTCCTGGGCTGTGCATTTACACCCGCAGAAGGCAATGCTGCAAGATATAATGTATGCAAATGTATTCTGACTTCATAACAGGCGGCTCTAGTTTTTCCACCAGTTTTTCTGTCCTTGTGCGGCAAAACACTTTTGCTGTAACCCATTATTAAAGCTAATGGTTTAACTGTATTTTGTTACTCTGTAGCCTTTAAGAGAGTGTGTGTTCTTGTGGGATGAAGGATTGCAGTGGCCATATGAACCAGAGTACACACTCAAGGTGCATCCAGCATGCAGGACTAATCACTTTCTTATTAATATTTATGAACCATCTCATTTAGCAGGTGCTCTTGGGACTTGATTAAAGTAAGCAACACTGCCATTGGTGCTTCAGGTGTAGAGAGCTTTATCTGGTGAGAGCTAGTGGTATCCTTGTCGATGCTCGCTTTGACCACCTGCAGCATTTTACAGGAGACCTGTACAGTGTTTCTCCATAGCTGTTCTTAAATGACAAGTCAAATTGCAATGATAGAATGAATTTGAAATCATCCTTGTAAAGCAGCAGTGCTCACTCTTCTAATGAGCGCCTTCTGTTTGTTCCCAAAGGTCCAGAGGAAGAAATGACCATGTAGATTCTACAGCCTGGGTGCTGCATAATGGGAAGTGGTGAATGGAGTGGAGCTGGTCTGCAGCCTTGAAAGCAGCCAGTCTGTGGACCACCAGTCGGCCAGGGACACTTTGCACACCAGAGGCATTCTCCACACAGCTCACTGGACACGCTGGATTCTTTCTAATTGCTTAGGTTGGGATACGAGATTCCTTTCCTTCAATTTTTAAACAATTTTAAGCTTGTATCAACTATAACGAGTGGAGCAATATAATCAGCAACAATGGGTGACATGACAAATAGCGATTTTTATTCCAAGAACCAAAGAAATGAGGCCAACCATGCAGGAGAATTTGGGTGCACACTGCAAGAACTGCGCTCCCTCATGGAACTTCGAGGAACAGAAGCAGTAGTAAAAATTAAAGAGACATATGGGGAAACAGAGGGGCTCTGCAGACATCTGAAGACATCACCAACAGAAGGTAAGCATATTTTCCTTCAGTTAAATCTGGGGGCTTTGCATAAATGCTCTCCAGAGAGTTAAAGAAAGGCTTCATTTAAAGCCTTATCACAGTTCTCATGGTGCTGCCATTATTTCCCAACAAGAAAAAAACAAAAATTCTTCAGGGAAAGAAGAAAGCAGTCACCCATTTGTCTAGCTACAGCTATAGCTAGCATGAGAATAGAAGGACCTGTTTATTCAAACAGGTAAATGTATTATTTCTTTAAAATGCAGACAAACATCAGCACCTTTTTCATAGCGTTAAAATGACACTAACTTCTACATTTTTGGGGTAAACAGATGCATACTAATTGCTTCAAAAGTTTCTAGGTATTTAAACCTCTTGAGAATATGAAATGAATGATTGAGATACATGTTGTATTACTTTTTAGATCAATATATAGTGTATATTTTGTGGTTACTAATCTTGACTTGCTCTATCACCATAGATGTTTTTGATCATTACGAACATATTACTGTGTCAATGTTTTAATTAGTTGGGCTTTTTATGTTTATAATTATGCTCGTTAGTTGTGTTTAATAATACCATTCATAATTTCTCAGTATCTATTCTTCTAAGTGCCTCTGGTGTTCTTTACCTGGTCAGCAATCATTAGTCTAGTTTTTTAAAATCATTGTATTTTCACCTCCAAAGATTATTAGTGTTCTTGGAAGTTACACAATCTTTAAATCTATAATATTTATCTTGTTTTGTAAAGTAGTCAAGATGCTAATTTTAAAATCTTTTTTTTCAAGAAGATAGAAATGTTAGCTTTGTTTCATCCTCTCCTTTTTAAAAATCAATCATTTAGTTACTTTTTCTGTTTAAATGCTATAGAGTCTTGATTTGTTGGTGTAACCATACACATCTATCCACTGTAAATCCATTGTAGGGTCACATAATGTGATATTATAAATTACACTAGTTGAAGAATCCCAAGGAGCAGCTACCAATATAATCTTCATATAAAGATTAAAAGTTTCTTTATGGCCCTGTCCTTATTCTTATACAACGTCAGAATTCTTAGAGGTTAGAAACTATGACACTGTGAGCAGTACCTTTTCAGCAAAGGATTATTAAACTAATTTTGTATTAAAATGAGCAGCAAAGCTCCAATAGTGACTTAGCATTCATGCATCACTTGTATTCTAATTAGTGGCAAGTGGAACCTTTTATAATTCAACATCCATTTTCTAGTCTTGGTCAAATACCTTGTCCTGCCCAGAGATCGCTCTCTGTGGGAGGAGTGAGGCAGGAAAAAGGGTCTGTCTGGGATTTCCAGATGTCCATCAGCCTTGCAGAGAGCAGCCTAACAGCTGTTGCCCACCAGGTAATCAATTCCTCAGGGAATATGCAATGATTCTGATGCATCTGGGGAATTCCAGACACAAGTGCAGGATCCCTACATTTACATGGTGGAATAAACACAGATTTAAAAATATCCCATTTGGGATTCAGCACCTCCAATATCCCTCAGTGGGTTATAAAATGCTGAAGGTGAAGTCTCAGTTTGTGTGAGCCAAGAGCACTTCACTGAAGTTTTGCCAACTTATTCTAGTGGTTATCTGGTCAATGTGAACTTCAAAGGAAATGTTAATTGCATTCTGTTCAATTTGTGACATCAGGGAAACTTAATTCCTCATATCGGAACAGAGCGTATGGCTCCAACTAGTGTGGCATGCTGACTCCATCAGTAATCTATATCTGATACTTCAGATAAGGTAACTTTCCTCTGAGCCTTACATACACTTCATCATTTCTGCATTAGGGAGAAACATTTCCAGCTTCGAATGGCAATCAGCATAGCCTTGGAATCATGAGGACTCTGCTGGGTTTTTAATTTTAAATTAGATCGTGTAATAGGTGTTCCTAATCACATTAAGCTTTGATCTTATTTTTATTTGTTTTGTTTGGAAAAATAGTTTCAGGAGGAAAAGTCTCTGAAATATCATGTTGAACTCAGAAATTTTTGTCTGAGAGCAAATATCCATAACAATTCAGAAGAAAAACTGTAGAGGCTTCTGCCAAACATATGTTTAGGCATAAATCCCTGGCCATTGCTTTTTCTTCTGTCTAAGCATGGCAAAGAATGTCACAATATGGTGAGGAGGATATTCCTGAAGATGTAACTTTTCTGAGAGGAAGGAAACAAAATAGGTTCTTTTATGGAAGGGGGATTTTGTTTGGCATCAGTCAGATATGAGACATGAGCTACAGATAAATTATTATTAGTGTACGCAATGGATCCTCCCATAGAGCTTTTTTTTTTTTTTTGGTGAAGCATAGTTAATTCAATTTCCACTCTTTTTTTTTTTTTTTTTTTTTTTTTTTAGAGTGCTGCAGATTTTATACAGTTTTATGAAGAATAAGAGAAGAAACATTACTGCAGGGTTTCAATAAACCCAAAGTCTTGCTGAGCAAGAGTCTTGGGTGAATATGAATGAAAAAGCAAAAAGGACTTGACTGTTGAATTTGGTTTTCCTGGGTTTAGCTCTTTCAGAAATTGTTTTCATAATTTTTTTTTTTGTCATTTTTGAAGCATAGCTTTAGCAGCTACTCAAACAGAGGAAGGATATTAAAGCAGGCATATTCCAAAATGGGATCTAATCTGAATTTACTGAGTTGATATTTACAAAATATAAGAAGTAGCAATTAGCTCGGTTTATTCAGCAGTTCATTTCCTATGTTAATATTTGATGTACCTCCTATGGACTGGTGGAATCAATCACTTATACTGGATGTGCCTTTTTGGAAGTCACTGGATGTGACTTTGTTTTGCCCCAAACCTGGAGAAATATGTTGTATGAAGAAATACAAATGCATGTCTCCTTGATTTTTTTTTTTTTTAATATTGATTAGTTTCACTTTCATTATTCTAGTAATATGGAAAATAAGCAGGATCTAGCTATCTGCCATTTTGCAAAATGGCGTTGAATGCACCATTGGGCCAAGCCAGGATGACAGTTGTATAATTTTACGTGCAATCTGAGTCTTTGAGGCCCACTCGAGCATTAGTGATACCTTATAAAGGATGGCTGGTAAAATGTGCTGAGTTAGTTGGATGAATACCAAATAAGGCTGGAATGCACTCTTTCCTGAAATGAATGTTAACTGTTTTTTGTCCACAGTTTCATGTAGTACATACTAATGTACACCAATTAACCCTAAGTTACTCAACTACATTCCCTTCATATTACAAAAATGTTTATTCTTTCTAAGAATATGTTAGGGAATTAACTTACATGATTTCTTGCTTGAAATACTTGGATGCTGTAATTGCCAATATGCAGGAAATGTGAAGCTGTGAACAATGATGCTTTTTTTTTTTTTTTTTTTTTTTTCTAGTGTAAAGAAAAGGCTTTTACCTATGTAATATTTGTGCTATGAGGAATATCAACTGTATTTGTGTTTCAGGCCTGAAACAGCAGCTCCAAAAGATGTTATATATTATAGGTGTTAATGTTACAGCACTATAGAAGTTCTGTTTGTGTTGAGTAGCTACCTGGTAGATTGCAGGTAACTAAAGTTTCTAGGTAAAAGATTTTAGAGATGATCTGGTGTACTGTGAGAACGTTATTATGTGAACCATTGGAACCTATTTGTAATACGAAAAATGGAAGTTTGTTTGGCAAGCTTTAGTTCTCTTAGGATACTGTATCAAGATTTCATGGCAAGAGAGAGTATCAATTAGCAGTTACATGAAAATATTTCTAGCATGGAAGTTGACTTTTTATCCCCGTGACTGTCCTTAGTTAAGATGCAAGATCTCTCTCTTTCTCATTCACCATATAAGATGTACAGACTGAGTACCAATGAAGCCAACTGTAGGAGTATTTCTTTTTAATTAATACAATCTGAAAAGTATTTTACAAATATAACTGAGGTAAAAAATGAAGCAAGACTGGCTACAACCAGGTGAATCAGTTGCTTTGTTTTGTTGCTTTGTTTGTGTTGAATCAGTTTGCTAGTTTTAGTTCCTCAAGCTTGTTTTTGTAGAAATAAATAAATAAATAAAATAAAATAAATATGCTGTTAATAACTTAATATTCTATTTTTTGAAGCAAGTCTTGCCAAGTACATACTGAATTTCATTTAGGTACACCACTCAATTGTTATATGTTATATTAGCTACAGGTATGTACAGAACTTAGAAAAATGAGATAGGAATGGAAAGTACTTGATTGAGCCAAATATAATTGTGAGTGTAAAGTAGAAATATAGTGGATTGCCAGAGATTGAAATGTATAACACCACCCTGTAAAAAATATTATGAAAGTTAAGAAATTAATAGTAGCATCTTTTTAGCTGTTGTTAGCACAATATGCACAATATTTGATGTTTTATAATGTTTAAGTGTAAATTAAAGATTTTCTCAAACATTTCAATTCAAGGTCAGATTTTTTGTCAGGAAACGGTCGGAATTCAAGGTCAGAATATTATTCTACTCATGCAATGTTTTTTGTTCTTTAAAAGCTATGTTCCAGCTCTCCCAAAGTAGATTTTAAGAATTTGGATGTGGAGCTGAGCTAAGTACTTTCAAAATCTTCAGAGCAGCCTCTTCAAAGGACCCTAAACCAGAACTCCTCATCCTCTCTCCAGATTGCCACGCCTAAATCCTTGTCCTTATTTGTGGTGTCACAACATAACTTAGAGTTCGGGCCAATTTGCCAGCATGGTCAGGCCAGCAGCCAAACTCGGAGTACACATCTAGTCCTTATTTGTACATGTTCTCTCCCCATGGAAGGCTTGGTTTAAACAATGAAACAGTCTTCCCCCACAACAAAAAGCCTTCCTTATTGTCACGGCTCATGCCTGTAAGGGTTCCCCCTCTTGGAACACACTTTTTCCTACCTTGCAAAAAAAAAAAAAAAAGCAAGCAAGCAACCAACCAAACAACAACAACAAAAAAAAACCTAGCAAACTTTAAACTCATATTTCACCTAGTTATTCATGTAGTATGAAACCTGGTTGAGCTGGTA